ATGTAACATAGTTGAAGTAACGCAGTTGAACCATCCTTGTGACACACTTTTTTTCTGTTAAAATTACATTAAAATAAATTAAAACTTAAAAACTAATTTTTGATTTTTATTTAAAAATAATGAAATAATTTTGCAATGTAATTTAAAATATATCCTTCTGTGGGGGAAGTTCATGAAAATTTAAATTGAAAATTAAAAATGTGGTCTGTGACAAGTTTCATTTATATGAAAACAGAAAACGCGCTCCGACAATTTTCCAAAATTTTCCAAAAATACTTACTTTTGCAATCTAAAAATTTTTTTTATTTAAAATTAAAGATTTTATAATTTTTATTTTATTAATTAAAATTTGATTTTTTTTCTAAAAAAGTATTTATTTAAGCTTACTTTTTTGTGACGCAAATGTGCTAACTTTTAAATTTTCACCCTAATACTTGGATCTAGGATAGTGTAGGTATACCACCTGCATTGGGGTAAAACGATAAGCCGTCACTAAATGCAGTAGTCGTGAGTAAGATGTTCCTTTGCTCATAATTCTCTTCAATAATCTACTCTACAATCTGCAACAAGGAGAGTTTCAGTAAAAGATCCTCTCCTTTCAAAATAACTAGTTAATGATTAGTCAAATTTTTTACGGGAAATTTGCTACTTTATAAATCATTGATTTTCATTTGCAAAAAACAAAAAAATAACAGTATTCGTTAAAGAACAAGAAATCAAATTTATTTCTTTGAAAATAATTGGTGATTTTTCTATGCCATATTATTTTATTTCCTAAAAATAAAAATTGGTTGAAAAAAAAAAAATTAAAAATTTTTTTCAAAAGTTTATTAACAAATCGTTTAAATTACTTGAAAGTTAAAAATGTTAACAAAGAAGACAAAGGCAAATAATATGTGTGTATGTACTTAAAGTACATATATTATGTATATACACATATATACATATATTTCTCAAACAACTAACATTGATTGAAATGAAAATTGAAAACTTAAGTCAAAAAGAGTGATTTTAACTATTTGTTATGTATAATTTATAATACATTAAAAAAAAATATAGTTAAATAAAAATCACTTTCATCTGCTCATCAACTTAATGAATGCTAACAATAAGAAATTAAATTATCTAGCTATAAGTTTAAGGATTTTTAAGAGATTTTTGCTTTTTTTTTTATTTATTTTTATACTTTTAGGTTTAATTTATACTGAAAAATTATATTATTTTTTCATTTAATGATTAGGTTTGGAACGGATGTTCATTAGATGCTTATGTATACATAAAAGTTTAAGATAATTTAAATTTTTTTTTAATATAAAATGAAATCTTTTGAATTTTTTTATTTTCTTTTTTTTTTTACTTAAAATATTTTTAAGCGAAAGTTTTAAAATTGCTAGTTTTCTACATTTATATTTTGTGATTATGAAGTAATTAAAATATTTTTGTTTTATCAAGATCTATAATACTATTTGAGATACTTGAAATTTTAATTTAATTTTAGTTTTGAATTGAAGTATATATAGTTCCAATATAGACAATATAGACATGCGAGAGATTCAAAGAAAATTTTTCAATTTTGCAAAAATTTTTGAAAAATTTTAAATTTTTACTTGACATATTGTTTAAAGATTTGTTTTAAAATAAATGTTTTCCATAAAACATTTTTCAATATTGGTATTCGTTCGTTTCTCGTTATTGATTTCTAATTACTTTCAATAGGAAAATTAACTCACATTCAATATTCAATGAAGTTAACCATTTCATTGTCATAAATTATGGATTATTGATTTTAACTTTTTAAATTCTTCCAGATATTTAAGAAGCTATTTATTTTTATATCTCTTAAATTCTTAAATATATATACATAAGAATTTTATATAATACAAATTAAATTAAAATTAATATTTTATTCATTGGAGTTGCAAATGAAAGAACTAATTAAAGAAGAGAAATGAATTAATAAATAATTTACCGTATTAACAATTTCAGTTTTATATTGAATATGCAACTGTAACGGCAATGACAACTGCATTTCAGTTGTCATGAATTGAATTGCGATTTCAAAAAAAAGAATATCAAATTTTTTTACATATTAAATTCGTAAACGTCCGTTCTCTAAGTTAAGTTAGGCGAAGTATCGAGTTTCATATATTTTATACATAAAATTTGACGTAGTACTCTATTCTATATTGTTTAACAACCGTTTTGTATATGCAGGAAAAAACAGACAGCATCTCGAAAGCAAAATTATACGCTTTTTATAAATTTTCAGAATTCAGTGTTACAATTTGGTAGCACATTTAACTCATTTTATATTTTCTGCATAGAGATCATATACGATCTTATTATACGATTTAGATCATGTGGAAGCCAGAATACCATTTAAATTGTTAATTCCAATTAATCGAATATTGGTTTTACGTATGCAAATCATTTCCATTTTATTATAAATATGTATATGTATTTATTTCGTTAAATTAATTTGATGTAATAAAAACTTCATTAATGCAAATTTTCCTCAATAAAAAACATATGAAATATGTAAGACATAATATATTCGAATTTCCCTTTATATAATGTAAATATTTAACATACAATAATAAAAATTAATATTTTATTTGTTTAAAATTAAAAGAAAAACGGTAAAACTTATCACTTCCTAAATGAATTTATTATCACTACTTGATTTTACAGACTGACTTTTACACCCAATTTTTTTCTCTAATATCATAATATCAATTCAAAATTATAACTTTTATTTGAAAATAAATTAGCTTTTATTTTTATTTAAATTTAATTTCATTAATGTAATTTGCATTCAAAACAAACACAGCGTGATCTAAAATACTACAGGTATAATATTGAACACCCTACTTATTATTACAATATAAAAAATCAATTTCAGCACATTCATTTCTATTGTTTACAAAATTTATGGAATATTTTTTTATAATCTCTTATTTTTAGCATTTTTTCAAAAAAAAATTTAACACGAAATTACTTTTTAATTTCCGTTTATCCGTCCGTTCGCCTACCCGTGTGTTTTTTAGTGAACACTCCCGTTCGGCTACCCGTGAGCTGAAATTTTATACATAAATAAATCTTTTGTAAAAACTAATTTTTGTGGAACAAAATTTTTATGTCTGCTACCCTCTAAAAGTTATAGCTTCAGAGTACTTAATGCACTATTTTTAAACAATTTTTTTTTTTTGACTAACGAAACCAAAACAATTTTTTCAAATTCGGACAGACGGAGATATGCACAGAGTGAAACTAATAAGCACTTTTTTCAAAATATTTTTTGGAAAAGTGCGAAAGAGACAAAAAGGATGTTAAAATTAACCATTATCTAAAACACATTTTTTGCCCTTTTTTTCAAATTTTTGATATCCCCTTTCTTCTAGAAAGTACGTTATAGATGTTTATCAGAAAATTTTTTTCCATCTTCATCCTCTAAGTTGTTGTCGAATCTCGAAATTTGTAAATTTGAATTTTCGGTGTCTTATATTACCGACACTGCATAAGCTTTTTTAAATTTTTGCCAAAAACTAAAGTTAAATGTAAATACCACGCTATCAAAAAGAAAATTAATTGTTAATCTTAACTAATGCAATTAACCCCTGGAGTTTACCATTATGACGTAGTAGATTGTTTTCAAAAATAGTATTATCAATTGTTCAAAGGAAAAGTGCTGCTTTACAAACCATCGGTTTGACCCAACTTTACCTTGTTAATCGCATGAAGCAAACAAGATTTGAACTATGTTTCTTATTGTATGCGATTATAAAAACAAAAAAACTGTTTTGAATTTTTGTTTATTAATTTAAAATATGTATGCATCATTTATATGCATCGTATAACAATAAATTAAAATGCATAATACAAACGTGAATGCTTAATATTATAAATAAAAACCATACATCTCTGGTAACATTACAATAACAAAAGTTTTTACGTTGATTTTAAACAGTCTATTATGTAAAACAGAAAAAAATTTGCAATCATGAATAAAACATTATAATAATAAAAGGGCTTTATTGAAGGTTAAAATATTTAATTCGGTTGTAATTAATTTTTACAAATTGATTCACTATATTCTGCCATCTACCTTGCAATATTTAAGATCTTAATTCATTAATAATCATAAATGCAAACATTGCAACTTTTAAACTTTTGCTCATACATTTAAAATTAATGTTGTAGGAATGAAACGTGGAGAATTTTACTACAGTTTCATATATGTATTTATTGCATATTGTATGTAGCACAAAAGCAAACCTAATAAAGAACTTTTCGCTTAATGATAAAATTTTTTTATCATTTTGTTTTGACTGTAAAGTCAACCAAAATACATTACTTAATAAATATAAATTTATGTCTTTACTGTTAAAGCATATCTATCTTTTGAATCACAAAAAATATACAAAAAGACTAGAAATATATTGTTGATTCTCTATATTTGATTAATTTTGAAATAATAATTGAAATACACTAACGCCTCGCTTTGCGACGTTTCACTTTACGACATTGTAGACACTTTAAAAGCAATTATAAAAAGGTAAATCCCATATAAAATACATATAGCCATTAGCATCCACGTATACGCATCCAACAACATCATCCGATTAAGAATCCCTTATAACGCTAGATTTTGATTGAAACACTAAATATTAAAAGTTCTAGATTCTAACAGTATTTTTTTTTAATTTTTTTTGATTTTTACGTTTTTTAATTTTAATGAATTTATTTTTATCTTTTAATTTTATGTGTTAAAAAATAAATTTATAAAAAACTTAAAAATGCTTTGATTTAGAACTGGATTTAATCTTTAATATTTCAGTGCAATTCCGTAAAAAAAAATTTGTCGAATTGCGATATTTTAATTGCGACGAATTTTTTGGGAACCAATTATGGTCGCAAAGCGAGGCATTGGTGTAAAACAAACACCTTGACATTGAAAATTAACTACTACATAATATTATGTATATGTATAAGACACTTACCTCAGAAGTTTTCTTTTTTAATAATCCTTCAAATAAACATTGAACTTCAATAGCTTTCAAATATAATAAATGATAGCGTCTTTCAAGACTTTTTATATTATCAATTTTTTTATAATTGTTTGCTCCTGCTGTTGCTGTTGCTGTATTTGTTAATAATAATGTTGTTTTTGATTGTGAAGATGAATTATCTTTTATTGTTGTTGGAGAATTTATGTCATTTGTTTCAATTATATCATTATTAACTGAATCATTAGTATCTTTAATATCAATTTTTTCTTCAGCTGATGAAAATGAATTAAATGAATTATCTGGCGATAAATTTTCTGTTCCAGGAATATTTTTTTCTATTTTTGTTACAACAGTTTTTGATGTATCTGTTGCTGTTGTTGCTGTTGTTTCTTTCAATGATTTTTCGGTGGCTGCTTTAATACAAGCACCAACCACTCTGGCATGAGATACTATTTGACAGTATAACACCTGGGAAATAAAAAAAAAAAAACGAAAAAAACATAATTAGATTATACGAAAAAAAATTGACAAATATTTTTTTTCTATTTATATTATTATTTTGAATTTTCCCCTTTCTTTTTTTGCTTTTTCATTCAATTTCAAATTTTATACCATTTACAAGTCTTTCAAAATTTTTCATTTTAAGGAAGTTTAGAGAATTGAAATAGTCTGTCTCCATTGTTGCTGCTTTATATAAAATGCATATGTATCTTTACATAAATCGCTGTTAACTGTACACAACACAATAACATATTAAAATGATATGTAAGAAAATATATGTATACGAGTATGTATGTTAGCTATGGTTATTCAATACTATTATTTCTATATCATTTGAATCTAATAATAGAAATTTAATATTAATAAAGATATAATCATAAATATGCATACGTATATACATATATACATATTTGAAATAAATATAAATCTTATAACTTTCGATATCTATTACGAAAAACACATTTTATACATATGAACAATACACTCTTGTGCCAAGTATATGCACTCTTTGTTGTTATAATAAAGTTGGGTCAAACCAATGGTTTGTATTGTAGCACTTTTCCCTTCAACAAGTGAAAATTTTGCTTTTAAATACAGTCTATGTATACCTATCACTCTATTAAAATTATTTTCATTCATATACAAAACTATTTCCAGAATTGCATATATTTAGGATGACGCATATATGCAGTGTTTGAAATAAAGCAAAAATTAATATAAAAAGGGCTTAACATAATGCTCGATTTTAAGGGTTAATTGTGTGAGTTAAGAGAAATAATTATATTTTTTAATTTCATGGAATTTACCGTTAGCTTTTTGCGTTTATAAAAATTTGGAAAAGCTTGCGGTTTCGGAAATATAAGGTGTCAAAAATTCAAATTTTACAAATTTCAAGAGGTGATAACTTGAGAGGGGGTGGAGATGGAAAAAAATTTTCTTCTAACGAAATAAACTATTTGTTAATGTCTAAAAGCTTCGAAACTTTCAAGCTTCTACAGGCTGGGGTCTAGAAGAAAAATGACATCAAAAATTTGGAAAAAAAGGACTTTAGATAACGGTAAATTTGAACGGCCATTTTGTTTTTCTAAAGTTTAACTATAGTATATCGCGCTAGGGGAAGCAAGACAATGCCTTTCTGCGTTTGCAAAATTTCAAAAATGCTTATGGTTTCATTGCAACAAATATTTAAAAGAGGCCATTTTTAGGGTTTTGGGGAGGCATAACTTCTAGAGGGGGGGAGATAGGTAAAAATTTTGTTCTACGGAAATAAGTTTCTAGTGAAGATCTATGTACGTATGAAATTTCAGCTTTCTATCTTAAAGGGCGTAGAAGTTTTGTAAACAAAAAAAGTGTCCACGGACGGACGGACGGACGGACGGACAGAGTGAAACTAATAAGCACTTTTTTCAAAAAATTTTTTGGAAAAGTGCTAAAAAGTATAATTGTCTTTAATTTCATTTAAGTAACAACAAGTCAGTTTTAAATCTGGTCAGATTTTATATTATTATTTGTCATGATATCGTAAAAATAATATCTAATCTAAATTTATATACATACTTAACTATTATATTAACATTGTTAATAGAGTATTATAGTAATATGTTGATATGTATGTATATACTTATTTATATAAGATACATAATGTTAAAAAATACTTAACATAAATATGCAATAATTTTTTACGTTACTATTCATCTTTTGACCTTTATACTAAACAGAATGGTACACAAACTTGAATTGTAAAAATTGACAAAAATTCGATTATCAGTAAAATGATTTCCTAGCTGATTTTTGAAATGAATAAATTATCAGCAGTGTTATCAGCTAGAAGTATTAAAATGTTATCATTCTAATTTATAACAATTATTATTGCATTTTCTGTGAAATTTTTAATAATTTATGAATTATTAAAAATTTTCTCTTAAAATAAAAACTTTTATTTAAAAATTTACATTTTTATAATTTACACAAGCTAATAGGTAAAACGGATTCATTCAAGTGTCATCAAGAATATATGTACATATGTTCAAATTTCATGAAAAACATAATAGAAGATTTCAAAATTTTTATAGACTTTTTGCAGTCCACAGCATTTGTATTATACATATACGAATATGACCTAAGCAAATTGAATAACATTGAATGAAATTCAAAAAATGAATCTATAGTCTGTACACTAAATGTTAAATTAGCCAGAAAAGATATTATACAAAAAAAAAATGACATCTGAAACTTTGACAATCGTATCATTATTGTAGAATCGCTGATTTTACTGTTTTATGAACTAGATACAAATTTCAACTTCAATTTTAAGTATTCGTGGTTTTTTTCTATGCAGTAAGTTTTGAGTAGCACTTACATATTAAATCTACATAATAGGACTTTTTATTTTATCTGATTTGATGATGGTATAAGAATATTTTATTAAATAGAAATAATTTTTTACTTTTGTGTGCACGGCTTTAAGTTTTTGTTTTTCATATCTTAATGTTTTGATCAAAATAGCTGAAATATTTTTTTTCTTTTGCCTTCTGAAAACATGTATAAAAATTGTATAGAAGAACAAATAATAAGGATTTTTTTTTTTTGTTCAAATTTCTGAAATGTATTAAGTAACCATCATTATAAGTCGTTTACATTTAATATCGTACATAAAATGTAAAGCGTTATAACAGTGTTATTTACTTACTATTTATAATAAACGATGGAAAACAATAGATTCATTAATGTTTTTACCATTGTTTTCTTTGATTCAACAAAAAAAAACAAAAGTAAATCGAAAAATATTAAAGTAAAGTGAAATTCAATTTGGGGGAAAATGATTTTTTTTTATGTTTTTCGCAACAACCAACGGTGACAAGAAATGAAATGTTAAAAAACAATAAGTTATGCAAGAATCAAACTTAAAAAGTTTTACAATAATGGTCATAATGTGCACATATATACTTATATGCATATTAATATAGATTAGTATGTACGAGTATATAGAAGTGTGTTGAATATCTTTAAAGATTTTGGTTTATTATAAAACCACTAATATTATTCTCATTTTATGTTAACAGTTAATCAACAAATTCACATATACTTATACATATATTTGCTTATTATATACATATAATTTTAACATACATTTTCATAATTCAGATTTTGTAAGGACAGTAACGAAACCGCCGTGTAACTCCTCTGCGACTGACATTTTTAACTGCCCGGTGTCGCAATTGTTTTGAACGAGATTTTCTGAGTGTTCAAAAACTGCCGTCCGATTCCCTTGAGGGTATATTCAGCTTTATACATGAAACAGGGATATTAAAAACTGGGGCGTCGAGAAGCTCCAATAAGTCGCGAATAACTGCGGTGGTACAAGGGAGATGTCCTCTGCCCCAATTCGGTTTCCTTAATAATCTGAAATCTACATTCTTAAAAATATACTTTGTATGAACACATACATGTGTACTTAGGCATAAAATTCTGAGCCAATAAATGTCAAAACACTTTTTATGTCAAAACTAATTAACAAAATAAGATTTTAACCGAAAAAATTTTTAGAAATTCCAATTGAAATTCGAATAAGTATACAAAAACTAAGTTATCTTTAGGTACTTTTCTTGATACAATAATACATTGCCGAAAATTTTTCAAACTCTAACAGTGATTTTTTTATTAATGAAGATGTCAGGGTCAAATTTCGATAGTTTTTTATGTATTTTTCAAATCCGTGTGGTGTAATTTTGAAAATTTTTATAATAATAAAAAAAAAAACATTACCATATACTTAGATTTTGATATTTCTAGAAATATTCCAAACATTTGAAAATTAGATATTCGAGATAAAGTGATAACCATATTTTTCTTATTTGGAATTTTATAATGAAATAGCATTTTAATGTGATCAGACACTGAATGTATTTATGACACTATCATGTTTAACATGGTGACATAAATTTCAAATAAGGTATAGTAATTTTCAACATTAACATATGCACAAAATTTTGCATTGAAATTACAGGAATCTTCTTATATTTAATTGTAAATGTATCAGTTGATATAATCATATTCTCATAATAATCTCAATTGAGGTGATGAGAAATAATTGAAAATAGAACAATTAAACTTTCTTAAAATCATTAAAATATCCATAGTAATTATTTTTTATGCATGTTAAGCAAATTATAACATAAATTATTTATCTTTTTTTTGTTCTTGTTAAACCCGCCAACATCTTTTCTCTTCTCAGTGAACTAGTCATGATATTTTTTAAAAACAATGCAAAACATACGGGCCTATTATTTCTTTTTAAAGTATAGAGTGCACGCGCAATGTACACATATAATTTATGATAATTTTGAAATTTACAGATGTTCTTTATATGTACATATACACGGACACAATAAGTTTGTACCATAAGTAGTTCCATAACTCTCTACCTAAGTGTATATGGATTTGAAAAAAACAGAAACTCGAAATTTTTGAATTATAATTTTAAAACAGTAAAAAATATAATATTGAGTGTGGGTAGATCTTCAATTTTAATTTTTTTGTTTTTTGCTTATTGTATAGCGAAAAAAACATTGAGAATACTTTTTGTTTTTTATTGTTCTAAAAATTCAAAAGAATAAAAATTGAGAAGTTATTGAACTTTTAAAGTGAATTTAATTAATTTTTCCATATGCTACAATTTTCTTTATGAGAAAAGCACAAGTTCTAATACTCTGCATAATCGACATTATAGAGAAACTTGAATGTATGAATTATTTCTTGGACATCTCTTTCACTTTTATTATATTTCCAAAAAAAATTTTAGTAGGAATTATACTTATGACGTTAACTTTGTACATACACCAATATGTTCGTTTTATTTTCCTAAATAAATATTTGTGCCCGAGTTCTTGACTTTGTGTAATCTATAAGAATATCATACTTTCAATCAGTTATTTTTTCAAAATCAATTACTTAATCGAAATTC